TGCTACAGGATGTCAGGAGCTGCCGCCAGCTTCTGACCCATCCCACTTCTTCAACCTGGCTTCTCCTGGATTGCCCTCTTGCCACTAGGCTCCTGGAGTTCTCTGGTCTGGGAACATTCATGGTCTTATCATACCACAGATGTTGCCGGACTAGAGAATTCCAGTTTTGGGAAGTGCAACCTTTCTTTTGCATCTGACAGTTGCATTATAATATCCCAAAAGAGCTTGCCTGTCTACTTCAAAACCTCAGCCATTCTTCAGTAGTATACAGGGATTTTCTTGTTTTATAAAATGCTCTAACAGCTAGTTCAATTTATGGAAAATTGGGCACACAATATTTACAGTAGGAACCAAAGATACTTTTAAATCAGAAAAGTGCAAAATGATCTCTGGAGCTAGTAATATTTCCCCCCACAGATTTACAGCTAAGCTAATCTTTCAGACAATCTTTTTTTCTTGGTTAGAACACTATCAAATTTTCAGAAGGAATAATTTTTTTAAAATAGTCACCTGATAAACCCCTGAAAAGAAGTTTATAGCAGAAATGTTGACAGGCTCAAAAGCACTATGATAAGAGAGTGAACTCAATTACACTAATAACTCAGCATCACAATTGTATTAATATACTTAAAGGGCTCGGATGAACCAAGCTGGAGTTTCCAGCAGATTCTTTTTCATATCTAAATCTGCAGCTGTTCTCTTAGAAAGGATGGTAATTCACCTTGGTGACTAGATAAAATGTCCATGCAATTTCACAGAGTGACAAAAATGCTCTTTTAAAAATCAATAGAGAAAAGTATTATGCTGCCATTATAAGTATTCTTGATAACTCATGAAATATTATTTTCATAAAAGGAGCAGAGAAGGACAATGCTAGATATCTTTAACACTGCACGGTATTTTTAAAGTGACAATGGTATAAAATGGTTTTTTTAATGAACAATAAAAAAGGTAGAAATATGAAAGGCAGTTTAGCAGAACCTGAATATGAATATTCAAAGAGTTAGTATATTCACAATACATGTACTAATGTATAAATGAGTCTTTGTATTCAGTTTTCTCAATATAGACCTGAAAAATGCCCTAATATACTTATGCAATACTGTTTTTCCCCCCATCATCTTTAGCAGCAAATTCACAAATGGTAACTATGTCTCCCACTAACTAAACCAAGCCCACTGTATGTCACCAGTACAATTTGTGGACTGGATCACCATCAACTAAAGTGCAATTACTGGTTGTAAAGTCCTGCCTTCTTTATGTTGCATTGTTAATTTTGGTAGAATTCAAACTAGGCACTAACGTACCAACTAATGGGTTTATATTTTCATCACACTAAAAGTCACTGACTCACAAAATTAAATATGCTGAATTCAGCTAAGTGGTACCAAGTGTTCTCTATTCCAACTGCCAAGTATTCTTTATTTTTGAGAACACAAGACTACACAGCAAGGCTTTTGCACTAGAGAGTTTATTCAGCTATGTTCAAAAGCTCATTTATAAAAATTATTATTCTTTTCACCAGAAAAGCTGAATGGGAGAGTGGAAGGATTTTTCTTTCTTCTTTGCAAAAGGGAACTGCTGAAAACACACTCTCCTATGGAAATTTCTAAAATAAATAAGAAGCTAAGTAGCTTTAAATATTTTGAGAAACATATATTCAGTGTTCCACATAGAAGTGTTCTCTTAAAATAACCTTTTGCTTAAAACTTTTCAAAACAACAACCAAAAATCCAGTGTAGCAGAATTTCTTACTGGAAAGGTAGAGGCAGAGACAAATAAAAGGAGAGATCAGATAAATAAGCCTGTAGGAACTTTGAGGTGGGGGAGAGAATATCTCCTTATCAATGAATACTAAATGCAGTCAATGCATTGGACAGCAAAACATTTCCCCATATTCTTTTGGGGACATATTTACCTCTACATGGATTAGTCTCTTGTGGAGTAATTTGGTTTTCTTTCCTCACAGGGAAGTGTCACATCAATAGAAGTGGAAAGGAGACTGACCTTCAGAATCCATGGGTTCCCCAAATTTTTAGCAGATCATTGGGCAGCTACAAGACCTCTGACAATTTTTCCTTTACTGGAACTGCATCATTTAACATCAAATCATGCTCACTATCTATAAATGCTGCTATGCTCATGAAAATATTTTCAACAAAAAGGAGCAGTTATATAGTATTCATCATTAAGGTTTCAAACATTGTACAGACATGGAAGTTTATAAGCAACTATTGATCCATATACTAAACAGTGAGAAGGATATACTTCTACATTCTATTTCTTGAGTGTAATGCTCACTGACATCCAGTTAACAGAGGAAAATTATTTTAAGGGGAAAATGGTATCTACTATAAAGGTGAAGGTTTGCCAGTCCCATAAATGCATAAACTGTACATTTGCACCAGTGGCATGGACACTGTTTTCTAGGGCTCTCAAGAAAAATAATAGCAAGATGAAATAGTAAGATAAAATTATTTGTTTTCTTTCAAAGTATACAAAGTAAGTATCCAAAATGTCTTGACAACCTGTAGAGTCATGGCCTATACTAGTGACTACCACCAAATGATTGTATGCACTGTTGTATGGTATAAATTTATAAGCAGAGTTGTTGTATAATCTGTTGCAAGTTGTTAATTATCTTAACTTTCCACACCATTGACATTGTAGTTTTTCTCTTTTTTATTCATTATTTATAATTATTTACAAAGAAATCCTATACATCATTTTTGGTTCTTAGATTCTACAATGTATAAACAGTTTTGTGATTAATTTTATTTTGGATACATAGATCATAGAAACATCATGTGTCTGTTCACCATGCCATAACCTGTTTTGGGGGGATTTTTTGTTTGTTTGTTTGTTATGTATGCATAAAAACACATGATTATGCTTTCCATTAATATAATTAAATAATCATTTAAAATTCACTATTTCTGAGGTCATTCCTTCTGATTAAAGAATGAACTAAAATATTTGTGAAAAACCAACAGAAAGGGAACATAATCAAGATAAATTAGTTCAAAAATTCAAAAAGAGTATTTGCAGGAACTTTTGTTTTTTAAATAAAGTGTAGACACATTTTGAGTCAAAAACCTCCATTCAGACCCCAAAGAATACAATGATGACTCTAAAAGTAGCCTGGTAAAAGGACATTTTAATATTTTATATTTATTCTCCCACCAATGAGTGCAATATATCAATAGGTTCATCTTATAAGTCAAGACAATGTTTTTACATTCAAAGGGTTCCTGGAAATTCTTGAAATGTACTCTTTCATGCAAAAACACTAACGATAAAAAAATCGGAAATCAGAATGTAGTTGACAATTTTACTGATCCTCGTTTAATTCATAAATACTGTGAAATATCTTAACAGCTGATATCTTTTTATGAAAGTTTGCTAAAATGCTTTATACAAATCAGTTTTTTAAACAAAAGTCATTCCCTACTTTCCTGTCCTTCACATAGACCAACAAATTGTGTATCATAGTTCTAAAATCAAGAGAGAATGCTTTATGAAAAATAGATATGATATTGTCTCAAAAAGAAGGAAAGATAGGTGAGGTAATGTCTTCTTTGTGTCATTTCTATTGGTGGAGAGAACAAGCTTTTGAGCTTTACAGAGCTTTACTTTAGTTCTCAAGGCAGACAGTGTAAATTAAATCTGTCAAGATTCCATATGCAGGCTATCATACAGCATGACTTTCCAGGAAGGAGATACAACTGGAGATGTGCAGACGGGTACAAATTATTGAGGAAGAGAGTAGAGTGACCGAGGACCACAAAGGGCAGAGATGGAGAACTGAAGAGAAGTAGTTTACTTTACAACATGTATAATTTAGTTATTCCTGTTTAATGTATCAGACGACTGTGGGTCTGTTTGTACTGATTTACAGTAGTAGAAATATCAAGTGCAACCCCACTAAATTCAAGTCACATTATATCTGTGTAAAAGGCATGCAAGTTGAGAATCTCATCAATAATTCCTTGGACATGAATATGTGTGTAGTTAAATCTTTTGAAAGCCAGTTGCTGTGTATGTTTGGAAAGCATTCAGGATTGCTGAGGAAAATGCTTCCTGCTGTGTACATCAATTCAGACCATATACCTGTAGATGGCAAGTTTCAGAGAGGTCCCCATGTTAGTCTGTTTCAGCACAAACAACAAGTAGTTTGGTGGCACCTTAAAGACTAATAAATATATTAGGGCATAATCTTCTGAAAAGTCATGTTGTATGCTCTCTTTAGGGCTTATGCCATAATAAATTTGTTGAAGGTTTCACCAAACTCCTTGAGGTTTTTTTTCTAGTAGATGCATAATTTAGGAACTGAAAAGTTAAGCCATCAAGACTGGACAAGTATGATTTTTCTCTCTCACCAGCATTCACATACAATATACACAAGAGTCCAACAGCACTAAAAAAAGTTCGGTATGGTATCACAGTTCTCTGCTATATTATTTTATTTATTTATTAATGTATTTATTTTAATATTTTCACCCCACCTTTCTATTTAAAATATTCAAGCGGCTTACAAAAAAACCCAATACAAATATATATAAGAATTTAAAATATGAGACCCCAGAGGGACATAACCAGATAAAAAAAACATACAGGGAGGAGGAACACACATATACAGACTCAAACATTAATAAAAGCACGAATAAAAAGCCTGACACAGAAACAACGCTAGTGTTGGCACCATGCGAATATTCCGATGAAGAGAATTCCACAGCCTGGAAGCAAAAGCTGAGAATGCCCTGTTCCGCGTAGATGTTAATCTTATCTCCATAAGTGGGGGAACACAAAGCAAAGCCTCCTCAGCTGACCTCAATCCCAGGGCAGGTTTATATGGGAGAAGACGGTCCTTCAGATATCCCGGACCCAGCTCATTTAAGGCTTTATAGGTCATAACTAAAACCTTAAGTTGTGCCCAGAAACATACTGGAAGCCAGTGCAGCTGCTGAAGCACTGGCATAATGTGCTCCATATAATTCGTGTTAGTTAAAACTTGAGCAGCCGCATTCTGGACCAGTTGAAGTTTCCGAAGGCAAGACTAATGATAAAAAATATTTCTAACATTTATAAAACTATGTTTTCCCATTCACACAAGGTGAAGGAGGAAGCTAAAAAAGCAGAGATTTGATTGTTGATTTCAGACCAATTGTCCAAACTATCCAAATAATTTTGAATTGTAATCCTGGCCTTTAAAAAAATCCCTGCTAGAGTGGCATCATGCACAACAAACCATACCACACCACACCACACTACGATGTTATTAAGGGTTCTGTACGGAAAAGACCCTTGTAGGACCTCACTAGATATGTGTTTTCACAATTGACCTTTGAGAACTACTCTTTGAGAAGGTTATTCAACCAGTTTTTCACCCTCTTAAAAGTAATTAAAACTAATTTGCTTATGAAAATTTCATGTGAGGAGGACACTTGATTCTGGGATTGACCCACAGTACATCAGAGGCCCCTGAGAGGAACTCATGGGTGAAGCTATTCACATTACAGGTCCAATAAAAGATAGTGCTTCACTCATCTTGCCTCTCTAATAGCTGCATTTGTCCCAGGATACAAAAACATTGACTAGCCAATGGTACCATAGAGAAGATTCTGAGGATTATAGCGGATCATAAATTGCACTTGAGCCTATGTAATACAGTTGTGGAAAAGGCTGAAGTGCCACACATAAGACTTGGGAGGTGATTGTTTCATTCTACTCAGCACTGATATCTCAGCTGGAATACTGCATCCCGCTTTTGGCACCATGCTTGAGATGTGAACAAATTGGAGATAGTCCAGAGGAAAGCATCAACAATGATAATGAAAAAAGTGATTTAGAAAGCTGACCTATGAGGACAGACTAAGAAAACTTGGTAAGTTTAGACTTGAGGTGAAAATAATAATAATAAAAAAAAGAGGGTGGGGAGACCCGGTAATAGTCTACAAATATATTCAATGCCATTATAATAAAGATAGTGATCAATTTTCCAGGTCCACTCAAGTTAGGGCAAAAAATAATTGACTTCATCTGCTGCAAGAGAGATTTAAATCAATCATAAGGATAGTTAAATACTGAAATCAACTTCCAAGAGAAGTTAAAGAATCACTGTCACTGGAGGTTTCTAAGAACAGGTAAGACACACGTCTGTTAGGGATGATCTAACTATGCTTGATACTGCATCAGCAGGGAGTGGAACACATGATTTCTCGAAGTCCCTTTATGCCCTACATTTCAATGATTGTATGTGGATTAGTCATGTTCCAACAGGCAATACAATCAGTGTAGTAAGTGGTGTTAAAGTGATCATGCATTTACACTGTCCTCAGTCTGCTGTCAAACTTGTTTTCAAGGCTGCAAGTTTGTGATGAATGCTTGTCTGTATGGGCTTGACTGTCAGAGATGTTGTATACACACAGCTTTCAGAAACCATTGAGAGCTTTTCTTTTGTTAGAACATCTGCTCAGATATACTCCTTTTGGTCCAAATGCTATACCTCCAACTTAGCTTTCTCCACGACAAGAATGATTGCTGGAATAACAATTAGATTCTGCATTAATGTTATTGATTTCATTGTCAACAGCAGGCGCACCCTGTCCCCATGCACTGTATTAGACAGTTTTTACCATAGAATCTCTATTTACAGTCACAGATACTGTCAGTGCAACATTTTCTCTCTCTTCCTCCCCCCCCCCCCCCTGTATTCCTATTCAACATAGTACCAGATGGTGCCGGAACTGCTCATTTCTTCTCTGTCAACCACATCCTCATATTCTGGATTCTGCTGGGCCTACTGAACCCATGGTCTTTCCCATGGTGCTTATCACTCCTACCAAAGCCATTATTTTCCAACTCCATCCCTACTAGGAGCAATTTTAACAGTTTGGGATGTATGATTGCTACAGTTAGCACATAGAAATGAACCGCCACTAACAACCATACCTGGCAAAAATTCCCTCAATAAAATTATAGCAGAGATACTGCCACAGGCAGTGAAACATGAAGATTAGGCATCTTTAAGATTTATCGGGCAAGCGCACTTATTTGCTGCCAACAGATAGCAACACAGGGCAATAATAGATACAGGGGGAAAATGTAAATGAGTTTTTAATTAAATAAATTATATTTGTGGTTGATTTACCTGAAAAGAGATTTTCATTATAAAACCAGAAGCCATCATTTTTCCCTCAGATTTTGAAAATATTTCTCAGTACTTTTTGGCAAGAAAAAAAGTTCATTTTCCCACAAGATACTATTACACATAAGCACACACTTTTTGGTAGGAAAAGAAAGTCCTTTCCCTTCGCCCTCTCCTCCCAAAAGTCATTGCAACTAGTGCAATGGATTTCAAGAGTGATCTAGATATTTTGTGGAGAGAGAAAAATGGACAGACAGGATTAAACAATGGCAAAACAGGAAGGTGCAACAGAGATACCTACTGCCCCCATGGACTACCACAAGTGAGCTGGATCCTTTGCATATTCATAAGTGTCAGTGTATTATGCATTAGGTCTTCTCTACCAGTTCATCAGTACAACAAACCGTATCAACTTTCCCCTTAGCCCACTCTCTGGGAAGGGAGAAGGAAACATTTCCTTATCTTGCATCAGGACCCCCCCTCCACCACCTCTTTCCCATGCACTTCTTTCCTCTCTTTTAATCATGCTTCAGTGATGCATTCAGTTGATTGTTCTCATTAGCTTGTTGGCCTCCTGCCTAATTAAATGTTTGAGACCACATCTCCCAATTAAATCCACTTCAGGGGGGCAAACAGCTTGTTACCTTAGTGATCAGCATGCTGAGTCTGTTCTAGGCACCTGGTATTTTGTCACAGAAGACTAAGAGAGACAGCATTGTTGAGTGACCTCATCTTTTCCTGCTCCCCTTAATGCAGTAAAGTCTAATAGGTGTAACAACTAAAAACCTGAATTAGTTCTATGACTGATATCACTTAGCATTGCTGTTAAACCATGTTTACATTTCAGAGGAGAACTAACTTGTCAGAGCTCAAACAATGAATTTGTTTGGCTGATTATCTGATGATGTGGGTTTTGCCCATAACAGCTCATGATATTCTCTCCCTCCCGCTTCTCCCCCTCCTTTCTCTTTCTCTTTCTCTCTCCCTAGATAGATAGATAGATAGATAGATAGATAGATAGATAGATAGATAGATAGATAGATAGATAATTTGTTAGTGTCTAAGGGTACGTCTAGACTTCATGGCTCCATTGACAGAGCCATGTAAAATATTTTATTCGGCATAGTCAAAGAAAAAGCAGGGATTTTATGAGGCATATCAGAGCAGTCAACAAAGGCTTCCCTTGTTGACCACGCTGCGTCTAGACTGATGTGCTGTGCCGATCAGCTGATCAACAGCACAGCGCAACGGCCATTTTTATTTTAATGAAGCAGGGATTATTTAAATCCCCGCTTCTTTGACTATGCCGAGTAAACTATTTTACATGGCTCTGTCGACGGAGCCATGTAGTCTAGATGTACCCTAAGAGTGCGTCAACATAGCAGGCCTTAACTTGAAATAAGCTACACAAATTGAGCTATGTCAATTGCATATCTTATTTCAAAATAGGAAGCGTCTACACAGCACTTATTTCGAAATAGAGCTCTCTTCCTCTGACTTCCCCTACTCCTTGTACAATGAGGGTTACAGGAGTCAGAGTAAGAAGTCCTCCAGCTTGACAATATTTTGACATTATTTCAGAATACCTGTCTGCTGTGTAGACATGGATTAAGTTATTTCAAAATATTTTGAAATTATGTTGCTGTGTAGATGAATCCTAAGTGGCCACAGGACTTCTATGAGACTTCGTGTTTGTCTTGAACAATTAAAAACAAAAGAAAAAAGGAGAAGTTTAAAGCCTAGCTGTGTGTGATTTATATCATACCTCAAGCATACCATATTTAATATTTTATGAGCAAATGTCAAATCCAAAACAATGTTGCAGACATCCTTGAGGTTCTCTGACTCAGGGTGGCTTCATGGATGCCATGCTCCAACATCACATCTGCAAAACAGTATAGACTGATTTTTAGAAAGAGGAATTGTTATGTGAACAAATATGCTTGTGGCAGCATAGGAAAATCAGAGATCTGGGTAGTAAATGTCACCAAAATTCATTTGGTGTGTTCAGATTTACCAGCAACTAAACAGTACCACTACCCTGTCAGCAAAAATAATGTTCTGCAAGGGTTTGCAGATTACATAGCAAAAGTTTCCTTTGTTACATTATGTCACAGGAGATTTGCTCTTTGTCACTTTCAGTTTGATATTTTACAGGGATTACAAGTATAAATCAGATAGGAAAACATTATATGTGGTTTTTGCCTCTGTAGCCTGCTACTAGTAATCTTAAAAGTCAACAAATGTCAGATTTCAATTTTGAGTTTACTGAATTACTGCATTGTGAAGTGCAAAAATACCAATCTCCATGGGTTTTATGGTTCTAATTCTTTCACATGCAATTACTAGGAAAAACAATTTTACAATACCTGCCTGACAGTTGCTTAATATCACTGACTTTTGTGCATATTTCCTTAAACATACAAATGAAATAGTCAGGTACTGCTTTCCTTCATGCACAGTAGCTGCAATTTCAGTAGTAAGCGCCATTCATTTTTTTTTTCCGGGGGGAGGGGGGGGATAGGGACTTTGTGACTTCCAACATTAGTTCTCTGGAGACAAGATAAAAGGCTGGTCTACCTACCAATGAAAATTGTATTTAGAGCATTAGGAGAAGCGAAAATGCTTTGCAATAATTTATTGCAGTCGAACCTTTTTATAGACTTGTGTCAACACAGGTGCAGAGGCTATTATCAAATAAATAAAAGCCAAAGTCATGAGTATATATGAATTTTGAAAATATATATGATTTTATTTTTAAGAAAACTATTTTAGAAAAAAGCCTAGCCATCTTACAAATTCATGTTCTGTCATAGAATTATAATCTTAAACAGCCATTACTTTCATAACAAAGCTAAAACTATTTAATAGAAATAAACATGATTTTGATTTAAATTAAGGACATCAACATTACACATGTATCAGAGGGGTAGCCATGTTAGTATGAATCTGCGAAAGCGGCGAGGAGTCCTGTGGCACCTTATAGACTAACTGCAGTGTAGGAGCATAAGCTTTCGTGGGCAAAGACCCACTTCGTCCATTAGACATGTACTTCAAGTGTCAGGATGTTCTCACAGCCAACCCAATCAATAAATTGCTACATAGTAATGTGAGTTCTTAATTTCAAAAGTAATGATCCAGGAACTTCCTAGAAAATGCAAAGGTTGGGTATGCTTGCTATGATCCCTAGAGAATTTAGAAAAAATACTATTCTTATAGCCCTGATGCAAAGCTCAATGAAAACCCTCATTAAGTTCAAGGGCTCTAATTCAGGTTTCATCCCTCTTAAAATAATGTTTCTTGGCTATCTCAGTGCAATCCCATAGATGTTTGCACTGGAGTAACAGAAGGTATCACATGACCCCAAACATATTTTTTAAAAATGTAAAGCCCTCTTTTTTAAAAACCTTAATATAGAGATATACAAACTGGAAGCAGATGGTGCTCTAGTGCCAAATTTGAAAATGTATAAGCCTTGTTTAAGCTGAATTCATACACATAAGCTTTTTGCATAAAAACAGAGTGGAACCTTGCAAAGGTGCAGCCAATCCTTGTATACTTCCTTGCTTACAGTGACATGCTACAAATGTACTCCACCTTCATTTTCTCCTGCTTCCACTGACAACTGGTTCATGTAAGAGCCCAAGGGAAAGGAGACATTAACTCACATAACAAAATAGTTCATCCTCTTTTTATAAGGCTCCAGGAAAGGAGTAATTACAACAAACTGTTCATAGGGTCTTCACCTCAGAACCCTAGTTCAGCTTCCACACTTAAAGCCTACATAAACAAAGCCTTGAGTTAGACTGGTCTGCTAGGGTAAATCTATATTGCAGCTAGTAGACAGACCTAGGAGAGCAGACTCAAATTAGTATTATAAATGGTGTGGCTTGTGCTGTACCTTGGACTCTCTTAATTCCACCTGGTCCCTCAAGCTCAGCCTGAAAGTCAATGCTATCTTTAACATACTAGCTTTAGATCACAAGCACATGTATGTCTTCTCAGGCTGGGAAGCTTGCTCCCAGATGAAGTATAGATATACCCCAAGTGACTGAAAGAGGCATGGCTTCTCTTCTCACCCACCTCTGGACTTAGCTTCTTCTTGCATACATATTCAATCTTGAGGGAAAGAAAAAACATCCTTGATTACATCCCAATTGTAGCCTCCTGACAGTGCCTTAAATGGGCAGTATATTCTTTTTCACAAGAAGGCAGCCAAAAATTTGTGATATCAATATATTTACTGAGTAGGTGACCATGCAAGAAGGTCAGCTCTACCATTCCTAGGACATAAATCATCAGAAGATTGTTAGGTTCACGCTTGTTCTTTTTTACTATGCAACTTGCATCACCAGAACATTGTATAACAATTTTAGGGTTAAGACCAAGTGTTTAGATTACATGACATAGAGTTTCACACAGCAAATCAATATCTACTTACCCTTTTGAAACTGACTCCATTGGTCTTCAGTAAATAATAAAATTGCAAGCTCCCTTCCAGTGTCCTAATCCAAAGCCCATTAATATAAAAAAAACAAAAGAAACTAAGAAAATATCCTGAATGGAAGAAAGGAACAGTTAAAGGTTCCAGGAGACATGAAACTATTTGGATATGTGGAAGACAACTGGAGAAAATTCAAACACTACTTCGATCAATGTGTGCTGTTAAAAATAACAAAGCAATTCAGAAGGTAGTCATATTTTGACAGTGTCTGGTTCTGATTCAGGTGATGTGTTCGATACTTATCAGTTTACTCAAGTAAAAAAAAAACCTAACTGTAAAACTATAGTACACAGTGAGAAGCATTGTACCTCACATTATAAAAAAAACCACGAAATTTTGTTTTAAATCAGCAGACAAAAGGAAGATGAAATTATAAAAACGTGTGTGACTGATTCCAGGTGACACAGGAAACCTTTCAATTTTGGGGGCTAATGAAGTCCTTAGTAAGAGACCAGATCATGATTGGAATTTGGAACAAAAAACATCTCAGATTGACTAAGCAAGACCCAGGATTAACTCTTGACAAAGCATTTTGCCACAAATTGATGTTACCTATCCAGAGTGGAGCTTATGAAGTCTTTGCTACTATGACACTGTCAGCATGACTGAAAATCCAAGATACAGCAGGAGAAAAAAGATCTCCTAATTAAGGCAGAAAGGGTATGAAAAGCTCAAATTCAGAGTCCTGAAAAAACAGCCCCTGGAGTCAGACATGCATTGACAACCAACACAAACAAAGACAACAACCAGCATATAGGAAAGGACACCAGAATTGCAATGGATTCTATTAATTTGCAAAGAGTCCACATGCAGCAACAGAGAGTATGCACAGAATGTAGAAAAAGGGTGACAATGGTACCCCTACAATGAATTCTTCATAGAAGCAATGCATAACATTGCTGTAGAAGAGGACTAGACTATCTACCTGAAAGCAAAATGGATGATTGCTTCAAAGTTTGATTTGTGTGTCAGTGTCAATAAAACACTTTTTGGAAATTCTACCAAGTAAATAGGCAAAATCCAAGGCTTACCACAGTGAGCTTATTCCTTTTAAAGGAATATGAGAAGTAAATATATGGTTAGATAGTTTGGAAGATATATTATTTATGTAACCCCCTTTTTCCTCCCCAGGGTTACTTGGGAGCAGGTCATACTCACAGGTGTTCCTGGGCACCTGATAGTTTTAACATAAAAGGAGATCCTGAGTACCCCAGTGGTGATGTTGTTTAGTTGGGGAAACCCTGTCCACCCCCTTACTGTTATCCCTTGCTCATAAAGAACATACAATGGCGGTGCCTCCACTTGGCTGGCCCTGTAACACACTTACTGGTGTGCCTTGGGAACCCTCAGGAATAAACTTATTCCAACAATGAACTGGATCTAACTCCAGAACAACAATTACAAATCATAAATAATATACACCTAATAGATTGCATTAGAATGAACAACCTTCACTTAACTTAAATAGGATTTAACAAATTAACTGTGAATAACATCAATTAACAAAGTACACAGAAGTAAAAGGAACTTATCTAGCTGCCATTTGCACTGACAATATTTATCCCACCCCAGAGCCCCAGACTCTTGCTTCCATGGGCACGCTTGAAGAACTGCAGCTGTAATGGAGATCTCTGTAGGGTGTGTGTTTGTGGGTCTAAGCTATGCAGCAGTTCTGGTTCACTGCGTTAGCCTCTCTGCCTCTCTTTGAACCCAGAGTCTGTATCTCTGAGGTCTGTCCCAGACAGCATTTTCCCAAAGATACCCAGTTACTCACTGTCTCATTCTGTGTGCTGGGTGCAGAGTAGTACTTCTAGCCACAGGTACAGCCAAAGGGCAATCAGAAGCAGCCTGCTAGATTCCAGTCCCAACGGCTCTGAATCCAAGTCTGTAGCTGCAACCTAACAGCTCCTGGACTGGCTAAAACTCTTCCACAGTAGCCTGACTCCTCTTTTCCAAAAACAAAGGGAAGAGTCCACAGACTACTGAGAGTCTCTCCATACACATGGAGAGACCCAGCACCCAAACAAAGTCACTTCCTTCCTGGTTTCCTCCAGGGTTCATGGGAATTGTAGTCTCTGGGGCTAGAGTGCAGCACACAGGATCTTCCCAGAGAATAAGCAGAGACACCTTTAGTAAGGTGACTACATTTAATAGTGTCAGGGAAGATGCCACCTTTTATTGGGTTAATCTCTTCTCTAATCAGGGTCCTCTCTTTGAAGGGTAGGGGGACCAGCTACAACTGGGGAAGAGTTTGAGTGGATAAGGAAGTTCTCAGAGTAGAGAAGAGAGCAGGAAGAGCACAGATGCCCCCAATTCACATCTTTAGGAAAATTCCCTCATACTAAGGCAGAGGTTCAAGGAGGAGCTGGATATGCTTATCACTGTGGAATTAGAGTGCACTGAAGAACCAAGAGAGTGGGAAGAATCTTCCCTCAAAAAAGGAAACTTTTCTTATGTATAAGAAATACATATGCATAAAAAGGAACATTTTCCATTATAAAGTTTTCAGGGAGAGAGATGATGCCAACAATTTTTTCTTACTTGATGCATCGGCAGAGTCCTGGCAGGTGTCTCAGGGAAAAAAAAAGCACAGCACAAATTTGTGCACATTCAACCCCTCCTTTGGGAGACACTGTGTCGGTAGACTGTCATTTGAGTTGCATTCAGTATGACAGATATTTCAAGTGCACTGTCATTGTGAACTGTTAGTATTAAATTTATGAATTGTCTGTGAATCATTGTGGGCTAGGGAGCGTATTCAATTCCCAAACTTGTTCAGGAGAGTGGAAGAAGGTTACCATAGCATCTCTGGAAACTAAAGGCACGGGAGGGTACCAGTTATTGAAACAGTAAATACCTATCGCAAGATAACACCCCAGCATGGCTTGCAGATACTGTTTTTTCCAGAGTATGTGTAAACTGTAACTCTGTTTCAGGATACTGGAATATCCCAAAATAGCTATTTCATGTAGATATCCCCATATGATGAAATCAGCTATTTCTAAATTGATTTGAAATAAGATATGCAGTTTGTGTAGCTCAAATTGCATATTTTATTTCAAGTTACAGTGCAGTATAGACACACCCCCAGAGACCAACAAATAAGGGCTTTTTGTACAAAAAGACTGCACTTCAAGTGACAGAACCTTCCTTTGATTAAACAAATTCATAGTCCTCTCTGTACAGGGGGAGAAGGGACAACAACATTTACAGAGGAATTGGAAAGATTTTGTCTTTAGTAGGGCCCCATAAAACTGATGATAGATGACCTCCAGTGAGCTTTTCACAAGTGTATAGGGATTTTTTTTTTCTGGAATGCTTTTACTATACAAAAAAAGTATATTTTGCTTTGTGGAAGCTGGTTGGAAACGGATAATCTCTGTAGAAAGGTTAACCACAGGTGCTGGACCCAATTGCAAAAACTAGCTGGAGAAAATCACAGTCAAAGGGATTATACGTCTAAGCCCATGATTTTGCAGGACAGAGATATGGATTCCTGCCCAGGACAAGTGACCAGTAAGAAGCCTGAAACTTTTAAGTGGATGTTCTCGAGAAGACTAGAAAAAAGAGGGAAAAGATGGAATTCAGCCTAAAACTGTGGCATTCAGCATGCAAGGAAACTATGCCATCACAAATGTACTGTAGAAGATATAATGGTTAAGGTAATTAGCATCTTTGTTAAGGCCCAATCGTCAAGTGTCAAATTTAAGCATGAATGAAAGTTCTGAAGTTTCCCTCTGTAATCTGGTGTTAATTACACTCTGTAATCTGGTGTTAACAAATATGCTAATTACCTTAACGATTACAAAGATAACTTCCCCACTTATCACCCGATTAGCCATTCGTTGACTCATAAATAGCTATTTCCTCCCTACCTCTCCCTCACCCCACCTTCTGTACTAAATCAGATTTGTCAGTTTAATGTGATCACTTTTTTCATTGTATTCCTTTGGTATATACGGTCATGCCAATTCTCTTCCAGAATATGATCTGAAGAAGTGGGACTGCCCCATGAAAGCTCATCACCTATTAAACCATCTTGTTAGTCTTTAAAAAGTGCTACATAGGTTTTCCTTTTGTTTTAGCAAGATCAGACTAACACGGCTATCTCTCTATTATCTATCAAACAAGAGAGGGTTACAAGTGAACTAGGTAGAGAGATTTGTGCCCAATTTAGCTATCCAAATGACCATTTGAGAGAGCTATTGTGTTCAATGGACACTGAATACAAATCAAACAGATTCCAAGATATTGAATGAGATCATAAAAAAAAGCCTGAGTCCTGGGGAATTTTAACAGTAAGGGCAAAATTAAATTATTCATAAATGCTTCTAAAGAGGCTAGTGAGATAGTTCTCTTACAACAAACTGAGGAAAGTGAAGACCAGTGATTTCAATGTCATGGGTGATAAAACCTGAATGGCAATCTGCTCCAATAAGAAAGGAAGACATGGGCTGAGTCTATGGGTGTTGTCAGATTATTGTGTCTTTCTGGAATGGCTCTGTTAGATGAAAAGGACCATAAACCATTTATTATCACAGTTGCTCAAAGGGGCTTGCTTCTCCCCTCCCAAGAATACATACATTTATCTTTTCAGCTACAAATATATAAACTGTAAATTAAATGCAAACCTGGAAAAGAGTTGGTGGTTGCAGATGTTCTCTCTAGTGCATACGCCAAAAGTGCAGTGGACCAAGAAGATTCAGAGCCAGATTTTTATATGGAGTAATCTGATAACAGTCTCTCTTCCCCGTATCTAATAAAAGATGAGCTGTGATTGCCAGAGCTATTGCTGTGGATGAGATGTGGTAGATAGTGATTAAGGTTATCAGAGGCAGGCCAGGCCAACATATATCAATCCCCTATCATCAGTTTAAAGGGGAGCTCTCAGTACTAGATGGGACTCTGTTTCAAGGCACAAGTAGGGTGACCCATAAAACTTTATAGCAGGGGTGAAGAACCTAAGATCCAGGGGCTGGATCCGGTCCCCAGCTTGCCTGGATCCAGCCTCCAAGGTTCAGGACTCTCTCTCCCAGCATTGGAGTGCCAGTGTTGGCACTCCAGCCCTGTGGCTCCCCCAGGACTCTCCCAGCGGGGCCGGCTCCCCGCTGTGGCAGAGGGTGAGCCTCCCCAGCTGGAGTTAGGCAAACTAGGGCCAGATACGACCCATGGGCTCTGCCTAGCAGGGAGAGGAAGCTGCTCTGTGGGTTGTTGCTCCCCCTCCCCCTCTCCCCAGATGGGCAAACAGCAGCACAGCAAAGTGCTGCCTGGAGGCTTTTCCCCCACTGTTCCGATTGGCCCTAATCACCAATGGAGCAGCAGGGGACGGTTCCGGGGGTGGTGGTGGTGGTGGTGGTGAGTGATATGGAGCCATTTGTGTCCCCAGAGAGCTGCACCCAGCTCCTGTGCATGCTCACACACACACACACACACACACACACCGTCTGCTTAGGCCCCATAGCCAAAGCCCGCTTCCCAGCAGCTCCTTTCCACACATTGAACCCCTCATTTTGGGGGCCCACAAAAATCTACTAGCCCCCTATGTGTGCAAAGAGAATGTGGGCAGTATCTTGCCGCTTCTCATTTGGGGGCCACATCAGTGAGGTGGATTTCTTCACCCTAGCCTTACAGACAAATGCATTACAAATGACACATGAAGATGATTGAAAAAAAATATTTAAGAGAAGGGATATTTTATACTGGCCTGAACTGAACAGTAGCATAAAAAAAGCTATTAAGCCTTCTCACGTACACCCAAATTACTGGCCAAGTCAAGTAAAAGAGCCCATGTTGGAGACACAAGAAAAGTTGTCCCTTTTATGGGTGCAAGGGGAACTATGTTGTCCTAGACTACTATTTTCATTTCCTCCAAGATAACCTTAGTGGAAGATCCTACAGCTAAAAAAGTGATTACACAGATCAGATCTATTTTTGCTAGGCATGGCCAGACAGGCCAGAGTTTAGTAGGCATGAGCTTAAGCAAGTTGCAGTGAAGTGTAGTCATAGGACACGCTTCTGCAGGGAGATGGATGGTCACAATTGGGTGTCCTGTCACCTGATAGGCCATGTGCAGAGCTCCAGGAAGGTGGCCTTCTGCATGCAGAAGTTCTGGAGCCACTGCTAGTCCCGGAGCCACTGGAGCCATTGCTACAGGATGATGTGGTCCCACCAGTCAGAACTGCTCTGCCTCTGCCAGAAGTGGTGTTCCATAGTGTCCAGGGGGCTAGGTACATTTGCAACAGCAGGACACCCAGGACCTGGATGAAGGGGTCCTCTGGTTCAGGCTGGTCAGCCTCCTGTTAAAGCAGCATGCAGGCAGTCTCAACAAATTGCGCCATGAGACACAATGCGAGGTCCGTGAGCATGGCACTGCTTAGCAGAAGGTCCAGATCCATGATGTCAGTTCTGTGGCATCTGCAAGGGCAACCAAAACACACTGTACTAATGTGGTGTCCCATGAGGGGGGTAGGCAGTGTAGGAGTCACGTGTGAAACGCTTCTGTAGAGAGAAGCCCCTTGAAAGCACGTGTCTCAGCTTGCCTAACCAAGCAGCCAGGGGAAGTGTCCACCCTCCTGGTGCATTCTGAGCTATTTCGATGCTATTCTGATGCTTGCCCCATAATGTGGATGTGCTATTTTGATTTTGTTGTTTTTGGGAATTATTATTTCGATTTTACTTACTTAAAAATTACTTCCTAGTGTAGACATGCCCCATGTGAACTTACTTCCTCATAACAGCAGTAGTGCTCCACTTCCAGGAGACAGTATGGGGCATCTCAAAGACTGAACACTGTTAGTAAATTTGACTCTTCGGTTGGATAAGGGTATTTGTAATTGTGTGTTGAAGTAGTGTTGAGAGGAGGTTAAGTATTATTGTTACTACATTTTGGTTTGGAAGGAAAAATATAGAATTTGGGATAGTACTTTTGAAAGACTGGCTTTCTCTGAGAGCATAGGTAGGGTTATTGTTGTGGCACATAGCCAGCTGGAAGAGAACACTAAACAAACTAAATCTCTATCAAGCACCTTAAATACTGAAGGATCACTTGAACACCAGAATATATTAAGGACATTGTAATGCAGCTTTCAAACCTGTGTTTGCCTTCCCAAACAAAAGTAAGGATCCTCTGAAGTACAGAGAGAGAGAGATTTTTTTTGTTGCTGTAGCTGGTATATTTTTAACTTCATTCTTCTGTACAAACCTATCATTTAGCATGAGCATCCTTCAGTAATGAATGGAGGAGTACTGAACTTCAGGGATATAGACAAGATTCTGCACTTCAATTCCCTCACAAGGACAAAAGTGCTGGAACAATTTTTATAGTGGAGGGTAATGAGAGCTCTTGAACCCAATTGAAAACCCAGTATACAATGGAAAACACTTCAAGCCAGCGGGTGCTCCACCCTGCCCCCTCACCCACCTTTAGTTCCAGCACTTGTGCGCCAGCCTGGAGATTTATAATCTGACCTGCAGATTTTTCACCTGTAGCAATGGTCAAGATTCTTCTCAACTGTTTCAGTTGAGCTATTAACCATGGCTGTTATTTCTTTAAAAAAATTAGAGAGCACAGTGCATTTATTTCCCGTAAGTTACCGTTTATCTCTCAAAGGAGAAGGCTTTGAAAACTGACCAAAACCCCCAAAACAAAAACAAAAAAATGTATTTTGTATAATATTTGAGACTTTGCTCAGTTGTAATCTAAACAGTTAAACTCCCCCAAGAACTGTCAATGCTTTCCAAAGTTTTCTTGTCTCTCTCCCTGGATCTTACATAATTTAGCGAACATCTGAGGCTTAGGCAGCTATGAACCTGAATTATAGCATCGCCAAAATGGAAGAGGCTGGGATTGCTGCCAGCTGTCTAAACAGCAGCAGAGAGTACACATTGACAGCAAAAGCAGCCAAGTGCCCATCTGCATGGTTCAAAAGAAGTCTGTTCACAGACAGAATGAAGGACCCATACTTTAGTTAGCTAAGCATTAAGGATGATTAGATTGGTTGTATAGCAGATAAAGAAACAAAGAGTACGCCAGTCAATGGTCAACTCACCGAACAATGTGGTCACTTTGGGCCAAATTTTCATAATACATCAGGGACTGACAGGGGGCTAAATGTGTTTGTTTGTGAAGTGCTCTGGCACTGTGGAGATAAGTACCACAGAAAAACCTTTACTAAAATAAAATAAATCCTGACACCATTACTCAGAGACAAGGCTGGCAGAAAAACCACTGCTTTTCACTCAAGCCAACCCCCCACTCACATAAAACACCTAAGAATTGCAGATTTATCTACTGTAAATGTATGCCATTTAACACCTCCAAAATGGAGGAAACCCAGGTGTCAATCATCCCTCTGCAACCTAATGGAAGGCTATAGGACAATTTTCAAAGAAAAGCACTGCTCAGTGCAAGTTAGAGTGGCAGACTCTTGCCTGTGAAACGGAGCAGATCGCTGCCTTTACCTCTTTAATTCAGACATGCAGTCCAGACAGTCTACACTTCTTAGCATGCAATTGTCTGATTTGATCTAAGTGGCCCATGAAGCTATGTCTGCACACGCCATCACTCTCTACTAAAGCGCTGAGCCTCATTAAGAGCCCAGTAGGCTGTATTTGACTTGCAGTCTGCCCTTTGACCACCACTGTGCTTGGGTGACACTTGGTTTCCCATTTAAGTTGTTCAGATTTATGGAAATCACATTGCACTTATGCTGTGCAGCATGGGATGATTGATGTATTGCTTCATCATAGTCACTACAAAAAAATTAGAAAAGTAGTTTGCTAAAACCTGTTCAATAGAAACAAACACCTTAGAAAAACATAGTTTGCAAAACTAATAGTAAAAGCTTTCTGTTGACACATTCAGCCTCTTGTCTTCCATGTCATTATTATTCACATATTTCCTCATGCTCGTCAACAACTCTTAATTAGAAATTCTGCCCAAATCCTCTTTATCCACTATAGTCTTTGTGGTTCTTTAAGATTATGTTGATTTTTGTGACCTATATGGAAAATAATTGAGATAGATGGAGAAATACCTACACACTAAAAACAGCCTGGATCTTGGACAACATAGAACATTTTCCTTTTGAGTTATTGGGCTGATTAATGTTAAACTGGCAATTTTCAGCAGTAGATACCTGTTTACTCCAGAGTTAACAGTACGTTTCTTTATTATTTTCAAATGAACAAACTTGTCCATTCATGAAGTCAAATATATAGGGTATGTCCACACTACAGCTGCCACTGTCGACTTTCCAGGGTTCTAATTAGTGGTCTAGTTAAGACAGCTAATTCGAAGTGAAAGGGGGCACTCTAGTCGATGCCGATAACCCTGCTTTCACAAGGAGAAAGGGAACTTGAAAGAAGAGTGTTCTTCCTTTGACTTCTTGCAGAGTGGACAGCGGCAAAAGTCGAGTTAAGCTACTTGGAGTTCAGCTACATAATTAACATAGCTGAAATTAAGTATCTTAATTCAACTTTGTCCCCTAGTGTAGACATACCTATACAGTTTATATGGCTTCCTCAGGCTTCCTAGAGCATCTCCTGCAGGTGAGAAAAATGATGCAGCAACTGATGTTACCATCTGTTAAGTGGAGGTACTGTAGAGAAAGGAACAAGAGTAGATGGAGCACAGTTGGACTTTTGTTTTGTTTTCTTTTTTGCACAGAGTAGTGATGTAGCAAGACAGAGAAGGCATCAAAGTCACTAAAGCACTGTGAGGAAATCTTATTGCTGCTGCCACTGCTTTCCAAATTCTTACATGGTGTCGAGTCTCTCTGCTAGCATAACATAAATCAGAGCAAGCCTCCTAAGATACTACCTTGTGCAAGATACATATTAAATTAAATTAAATTAAATTAAAGCCAGCATTTGGGCAACAAAAGATACTATGTCCTATTTCAATAACAACCTAAAGTTAGGAGTCCACTAGTGATGAGAGCATGAAGGGATGCATAAACTGACATGAGTCTTAAATTCATTTTAAATGGCAGTTTAGGTTATTTAAAACAAACAAGAGGGTTCTGGAAGTTAACAATAGAATTATATTTAAATTTAGTTATCTATATGGGAATTTTTTTGTAACTTGGTATTTACAACTGTCCTATCTTTATATTTATTACTTACTATTTCAAAAGGGTAGTTTACAGGTAAGCATCTCTTTTGAAATATTGTTAATTTTATATACACACACATGGTCCCAAGCATCTAAGTGATTGAGTCTCTTTTAGTTAAGACACTGAGTTGTAATGTAAGGATACATGGGTTCAGTTCCTGGTTTTGCACAGACTTCCTGTGTGACCTTGTGCAAGACACACAATTTCAGGTATACCTCAGTTCCCCATTTGTAAAGAGGAAATAGGAAAAAGTGTCCTCTCCCATCCTTTCTGTCTTCTTGATTTAGATTGGAAACTCTTTAGAGTAAAGATTTGTTAATAAGTGTATATACAAATCCAAACCCAGTGCTTTCCCATTATTACATTTGAGGCATTTATTCAATTCTGTAATAAAAAAGTATAAATTAGTAACTTTGTACACAGACCCAGATGCCAACTCAAATCTCTTGCCTGTGGTGGTTTTCAGTAAATTCCTCTGTGTCCAAAGCGCTTGAAGGAGATTCTCTATTCAGGAATTCAGTTTCAATGGCTTTGACATACCAGAACATAGGCTTCTAAAGCTTCCCTCCCCCAGGCTTCCTGTCCAGGAAGTAATCCACTTAGACACCACCATTTGCTATTGTGCATGCAACCTGGGGATGTTCACATGAGGCAGTAAAAGAACAAAGTACCACCCTGTGATTGCATGTGTGGAAATGTGAGCCTAAGTATTTGGTGTTAAACTTTCCTAATCAGATGAGCTAAATCAAAGATGACATTTAACTTCTCTGCTCAGTGGGATATGTAGGATTTGTAAATAAGGTTTAGGACATTAAAAGCTACACACTGTAGTGCATCCCAAGCTTTAGCTAACTGTTGCTGCCAGCAATTATAGACCTCTTTTAGCCTAGATGCACAGCAGCATAACAAATTGAAAACAAAAGCAAAGTGTACTGTATTCTGACTAGTCACCAGAGAGATTTGGATACATAAATTAATTTTCAAGTGCTATTACAGCATGGAAGGGTAGAGTTGCCTATTATAATTAATTTCTACAGGACATTGTGTTATTTGATTGTCTGCCCCTGACACCTCCCAGCTTTGCCAGCCTGTGTATTTTTAGACATAGAAATGACACTTTGTGCAGCGTATTACTATATGACAATTTACTTTGAAGCTCATTGTAGCTCATTAATGTTCCTTTGCGTACACATTATGACTGAGACATCACCAAGACAAAAGTCAGAGACAGTAACCTACAACTCAGAAAGAGTTCAGCACTTACAGGAAGCTCTCAGAAGGTGTATCTACACAGCAAGGCTAAAGCCAAAATAGGCTACGCAACTTGAGCTATGTCAATTCCGTAGCTTAAGTCGAAACCGCTTATTTTGGTGTTTGGCGCTGCCTACACAGCAGGAAGTCCAAAAAACAGCACTCTTCCTCCTACTTACTCCTCATGAAATGAGAGTTACAGAAGTCAGAGTAAGAAGTCCTCCAGCTCAGCATTATTTTCACATTATGTCAAAATAATGGCTTGCTGTGTATACCTGGACTATGTTATTCTGAAATTATGCCTGTGTAGACATAGCCATACAGTTTATAGTAACTAAAACTCATGCAAGGCAGATTTTTAATGAAGGGTTTCCCAGCATTTTGCTGTGAAGAAAAATGTAGTGTTTATAATTTATAATTCTTAGGTCCTGTGTAATTGATCATTCATAAACAGACACACTGATATATGAGAATCATTTTATATGCCCAGCTTCTATGTTTTTCATAGCATTCCAACTAAGCCTCTGCATTAATTTCCCATTTCAGCATTTTATTTCTGTCTTGAGCCATAAAAATATAATTGTTACAACTGAAATTTCAGCTCTTCTGCTCCCCAAAGGCCCATTCTTTTTACACAGCCACATACACCATCCTGCTTATTGGCCTTCATTTTCTCTCATCAAATGTTAACGCTACTTTGAGAAAACTTCAGCTTAGGATATTGCTCATGAATAATGAAGATGGCTCTTGGAAAGATTTGCTGGCTAGAATAACAAAATGGATCTTTTATTCGACTTCATTCCCTCACAGTTGAGCTATTGTATTGCCAACTTTTCAAAGAACAAATTGTTTGACATACCCACATGGGTTTATTTGTGTTAATTTCTAAAATTAAATAATAAGAGAATGTGAAGTTGACAATAACTAATATGGATTTTACTTACGAGAAACAGTCATCCTAGTTCAGTTCAGGAGTGACGAAAGCCTCCAGGGATCCCTGGTCGAGGTGAGGGAGGGGGCAGCTCGTCTCCATGCTTCTGAAAGGGCAGGGCCTCAGGCACAAGGGGCACAGCTGGGGGAGCCAGTCCTCAGTGCATCTGGAGGTTGCCACAGCCCCTCCCTGCCACCAGCCCTCCGCTCCAGTTGAAGCGTGGGATGTTGCACTCCAGCAGCAATTTAAAGGGCTTGGGCTGCCACCTTTGCTGCATTAGCAGTGATGGCAACCAGGGCCATTTTGAATCACCAGTCACTGTGGGAACTTCTCCTTTTGCACTCCCCTTTTCCATTGGCAGGCCTGGTATAGCTAATATCCAAAGTGTTTTGGCACCCTGAGCCATGACATCAAGCAGGCAGATGAGGAGAAAGGCACTTCCTGATCTACTATATGTTTTAGAGAGTTTGTCTGTCTACTTGATCAAGAACTGCTCCTAAACGGTAAGAGTTAGGATCACCAAATTCAGTATACAGCTTCCTCCGATCATAATTTAAATCAATGTAAAGGTTTAGCTGTGTCAGGAATATGGGATGTGCCCGAAATGGGATTGCTTCACATAAAAGCCAACAGAGAAGAGACAGGATCACCAAAGCAAGTACAGTCCTCACAACTGACATAACTGAGAAAATGTTGAAAGAGATTGAACCAAGATGAGCCAAAAAGAGAATGAACCTGGAATAGAACTGCTTCTTAGTAAACCTTACAGAAAAAAAAGTAAATGGAGAAATCTGGAGTGGTGCTCTATTTTGTAATGGTGGGCAAATCGGTTAGTAATTTTTTTTAAAAGCAACCACATGTTAAATAAGTTAGTGTTAACACGTGGCCATGCAGCACTATAACAGGTGACTATTCTGATTCCAAGAAGAAATCCGAGAGTGACATTTTGACAACTGAAGCCAATGGGAATTTTGTCTAATGACTTCAACAGGATTGGGACTTCACACAAGACTTTATAATACGCATATGTTTTAGATCTTCTGCTGGTTTAAATCTGCATAGCTCTATTGAGTCCTTGGAGCCTCAGATTATCCCTTTGGATTCTGTTTAAACTACATGTATGATGAACATAATACATCAGAGCTATGAAGATGATGAAAATGTCATTTGATAGATCTTTCATAAAGCACTTAATGATTTCAAAGTCACCAAGTATTCATTACATCATCTTCAAAAAGGAACAGAGCTATGAGGTCTTATGTTCATGATATGCAATGACTTCCATATATTTTAAGATGATCCAAATCTTTTTACCAAATCAAAGGGGCAGATTAAAACACACATACTTACACAAACAGAGGAACAACTGAAACAGAAATATAATGAATTAACAAGAGAAATAAGTATGGAATGCTGATCCTACATGACAAATGGTGTTTAACATTTTTTCAGTGACTTTAAATGGTGTGGCAACCACTCTGAGATAAAGCTGTAAAAAGGATGGTCTGTGTATTAATATGAAGTTGATTGACTGATGCAAGCTCTGGACATGCTTGCAAATTCAAGGGAAGTTTGGATAAAAAAATACAGCAACACTAATGATCTGTGAAAGTTATTGATAGATAATTGTTTAAAGGAGATACAGGAAACAATCAATAACCTAAAAAATTGAGTTTGTAGGGATAATTGATAAAATTAAATTCCATGTACCAAGAGCTGTGTTTAGACATAATAAAAAATAAGGGTAGCACTTTTGTCAGAATGATTTGTTATAGTACAGTTGTATAAAAAGGAATGATTAAAGCATGTTGAGTTGACAATGATTTTGAAAGCTTTTCATTTTTATTTGTGTGCTTGCTGAATTCAATGGTGCACTTCCTGTAATTGCCCATTGTATTTACATATTGAATGATGAAAGAAAAGCATTTAAAACATACTGATATATCTGAATCTCTTTTATTTTAATCCCATTATGTTTTTGTAGTTGGCACTTCTTGCACTGTTTATGTTCCAATGTATTTTTAATTACTAGAAAACTGAG